TTTTTTTTTTTTTTTTTTTTCTGCTTCTGGAGCACCTTTTCTATTTAATTGCCGAAATTGAAGGTTAGTAACTCCTTCATTTTTTTTTTTTTTAACTATTTAAATATTCTTCCCAATTAACTTTAAAATACTTTTTTTTAAACCAACTGGAAGGTTTCTTTAACTTTCTTTGCCTGACTCCATGAATTTTAGTAATATAGTAATAATATCTTCCATCATCAAAATAGTCTATATAGGCAGGAAATTCATTAAATTTCGCATGTAAACTTTGCAATTCGATCGGTATATAATTTATTGAAGGTGGTTGTACGAACATTGAGGAAGAATCAGATTTAATAGATAAAGCAGGAGAAGATTGAGATTGAGATTGGGAATTAATAGATGCGGTAGGATAATTAATAGAAGTTGAAGATGAAGAAGTTAAAAATGCGTTCGATTCTTTCTTCAACTTATCGATTTGTCGGACAATTGGTGTAAAGCCAACCGAGTTGGGTATATTGGAGCGAGGAGAAGTATTAGGTTGAGATTGAATATTATAAACCGATGATCTTGGAGAAGTATTATTATATTGAGATTGAATATTATAAACCGATGATCTTGGAGAATTATTATTATATTGAGATTGAATATTATGAATCGATGATCTTGGAGAATTATTATTATATTGAGATTGTATATTATAAATTGATGATCTTGGAGAATTATTATATTGAGATTGAAAATTATGAACTGACGTTCTTGGTGAATTAAGTTGAGAAGAATTATTAAGAATTGATGTTTGTGGAGAATTTTGAGTTGAATCAAAATTTTGTAAAGAGATTTGTTCACTTGGATCAACAGCTACAGTTTTAATAATCGATTCTTCATTGAACGTAATTCTTGCTGAAAGGATCGTTGGATTCAATGATTCTTCATTGAACGTAATTCTTGCTGAATGGATCGTTGGATTGGATGATCCTGTTGAAAGAATTGAAAGAGGAGGAGATGATTGTAACTTTGAAATAATGCATCCAGCGCATTCGCAGTCCGCACCAACATTACATGCAGGTTTGTAATAATCCGAACCTGTAAGGTTTTTCTGATTTATTCAAGAGAATTTTGGTATTAATAAAAAAAGTATGAAAAGAAAAAAAGATTTAATAAAATAGTATATTTTATTACCTTTTCAATGCGTTTAATTACAACCTGTAAAAAAAAAAAAAAAATATTTTAATTCATGAGATTGAAAATAAAAAAAAAAAAAAATTTCAAATTAAATTAAATCATACCATCTTTCCATTTTTAATACGTTTTGCGGTAACGATATGACTTTTTTGTCCTTGATGGCAACGTATTTTGAACTTTTTGAATTTGGTAATAATTTTAAAATACCATTTTTTATCATTTTGCACTTTTGGACATTTAACAATTTCGTAACTTTCTTGTGAAAGTTCATTTAATTCTTTAATAATTATAGGATCACAACAAGGTTCAAATCTTTTTTGTTCGATATTTTGTTCGATATTTTGTTTGATATAAATAGGACCAACGGAATGTCTTCTCGTATCTTGAACTTTTTTAAAAGAATAAGATGATGCGGATCTACGCAGTCTATGTATTTTACCACTATCATCATGTTCATCAAAAGATAGCGGATGAACTTCAATATTTTCAGGTATTGAAGTAATATTAGAAGAACGTCTTGCGTTCGAAGAACTCGTTAATGATAATGAACTATCCGAACTGGAACTAATTGATTGTTGTTGTGATTGTTGATTGTTATTTTCTAAAGAAAGGCGTGAATTACGGGCATTTTTAATCGCAAGCCTTTTTAGAAACATCACAAGGAAAAGTATTTATTATTATAAATAAAAAAAAAATAGAAAAATTAATTCTTTTTTGAATAAAGAGAAAGAGAAAGAAAAAAAAAAATATTTTTTTTTTTTTTTTTGGATGAGACAATTAACATTTATATATATATTCCTTTGTTCTTTCAATCAGTTGACCATTTTTAGAAGTAAAACAATGGCTTTCAAATATAATCATTCAAAATAAATGGAACCTTGATACAATGTCTTTCAAATAGAAATCATTCAGAAAAAAAAAAAAAAGATATACTATAGTATGAAAGGAAAACGGGCAAAAAAATAGGTTAAATTACGTATTGTTTATATTTTTCTTTCATTAATCTTACCGATTAGTATGAACCTGTAACGCAGATTCCTTTTTTACTTTCAAAGTTTGCAGATCGAGAATAATTATATAATATTCTAGAAAAAAGGATTCCTAATAAGGGAACGAGAATCTACATGATGCATTTAAACGTTTAACGAACGTCCGAGGGGAGAATTTTCAAGATTAAAAAATTTCCGTACAATGAATAAACAGGTACTTAGTAAACAATGCATTAAAAATGTGTTGACGATCGATCAGCATTTTCAATCACATGGTGTATAAACCATGATGTTACGTTCTATGTTTTATTGTAGGAATTTAATCAGCGAGAGAGTTATTAGAAATTTTAAATTTTTTAATTTTTTATTCGTAAAAAAGTTTGAGCGGTTGATGCAATTTTTCATGTTATCATAAGCCCATAACTTTGTTATTAATAATAATTACTTATGTTCCTTTATATTACTAAGTAATAAATTGTGCTTCTCAGGACAGGTAGTATCAGCCGCTGTACTGGCAGGAGTGATCGAGAAAGCAAAAAAAGAGAGTAACATTATCAAATTATAAACTTGTGAAATTCATCCAAGGGGGAAATCAAAGCTCATGTTAAAGATCATCTAAAAAAATTAATTATTGCGTAATTTGGTAAATTATAATGGAAATCAATTTCGAATGATGATTCTGGAACAACCTTATAACGACAAATGTCCATGCATATGCAACAAAATATTGCTGGTAAAACCCTCAATAGCAAATGTCTAAACTTTTAAAGCAATTCATATTGCTATTTATTTTCCTGTATTTTACATATTCAGTAAAATTATTTTAATGTTGTATAACCTTCAATAGAAAATGTCTAGCCATTATAATAAAAATTTTATGGAGACATGTCAAATGATCTTATATTTTCGGTTCCACAGATGCAAAGGTACAAACAAAAGATAAATTCCCATCTAGTGTAACAGGCAACTTAATTTTATTTTAAAGATAAAAAGCGAGATAAATCATAGTTTCTTATTTTTTTTAAAAAATATATATATATATATTTTAAATAATAAAATTTAAAAAATACTCTCCAAGTTCCAATGGATTTTGTTGGCATAAGCATTAGTGAAAATAACGACGATATCAATAAAAATATTGTCAACTATACCGATACCGATAGCGATGACGAAGTAGATAAACCGAAACAGCGTATCGATAAACCTATTCTAGAAGTATCCCCAGATGGAACATTTCTTGTTACTTACAATCCTAAGGATCACTCAATCGCCGGTTGGAATGCTAAAGATATAGAGGAGGGACAACTTACTAATACCAATTGTCCTAAAATTCCTGAAATAGATAAAGATATAGACCAAATACGTGTTTCCAATGATAAGAAACTTGCGTATACGGTTTATGAAGAAAACAACAAATGTTACCCAAGTAAGAAGTATTTAATTATTTGATTCATGTATTTATTTAATACATTATCTAATATATATTAAATTTATATTTCATTAGAAATAATTGATCTTAATAATAATAGTAAAGAAATTGAACTAAATTTACATTTGAAAACAATTTATCAAAATTGTTCGTGGCATTATGATTTTAATATAAATAATGAATTTATTTTATATGGTAATTATTGGGTTATAAACAGTAAATATAAATACCAAAAGCATAATTTTCTTTGGATTTATTCTACAGAAACTAAAGATAACAAATGGTTTTGTAAAAAAATTTACCTGATACCTGAAGATTTTGAAGTAATAAATATATCAAAATATGTTGTCAATAATAAACTTTATTTATTTTCAAAAAATTCCATTTTTGAATGGGACTTTGTTGAAAACCATGGTATGAGAATATTTTATATTAGTAAGGAGGAGTTTAAGGTAATTAATACTCATTAAAATTATTTTTTTTAAATGTATATTATATTTACGTTATATAATTAATAATAATATTCTTTATTTTTTAATAGTCACGTGACAGTGAGAGTGACAGTGAGAGTGACAGTAAGGATCTTAAAAATAATATCAGAATTTCCCGTAAGGATAAATTTCTTTTTATAAGAATTATGGATAAAATTATTATTTATTCTATCGAATTAGCTATTCGTATTGTTTCTTTGGATATAAATGGTACTATTTTTATTTTTATTTATTTATTTTTTTTTATCAATTATTAATTACAATTTTCCTTTTTCCATTATTCAGATACTTCACTTTATAAGTCGACGAAATATCATGGTTTATTTCCCTCATTACCCTTATTATTTCCACTATTAAGTAGTAAAATTCAAGATTCTATTATTGGAGCAAATTATGAAATTATTGAAACTACAGAAAAATACGCATTTGGAATGTTAGATGATAATGTTTGGAAGATTAAATTAGAAGAAGATATATCAAAAATAAATTTTCCATCCCAAGATTCTGATGTACAAATTATTGAAGACAGTAATGACCATTTCGATGAACACTTAAATATTAATATATTTAATCCACATATGGGTAAAATACATGATTTGTTTCAAAAAGTATCAAATTCTGGAAAAAAATATAGGAATATGTTAGATCATACGGATCCACATCAAGATTTATTAAAACGGGATATAATAACTGATAAATTACGATGGAAAATTCAAATTTGTGGACTCGATAAAATAGTGTTAAACGTTTATAAAAAAGTGAATGTTAATGATAGCAAATGGGAATCAACTGGCTATGGGGAAACAGAATTTCACATTTTGGATACTCGAAAAATTAAATTACTTGAAATTGAGTTATTAAATGATGATGATATTATTATAATTACAACCATAGGTGTTTTGATTTATCATTATTATCATCATCATAAAATTAAGAAATCTATTTCTTTAATTTATTGGAATTATATGGAGTTGACCAAACCTTTAATAAATTTAATTCCTGAAAGTCGCGAAACGTTTATAGATTTGAAAGAATTTAAAGAATTATTAAAACCTTATCATGATACTTCACAACATAATTTACCTTTACCGAATGATTATAGTTTTAAAAAATGTGAGGATTGGAAGTCATATATAAGAGATGGTAATAAGGAAAGTTTTCTGAAATATGGTGCTGAATTATTAAAATATGCAATTGAAGAACATGATTTAGAATTAATAGAAAATATCTATTCAAGGTGTATAAATAATTTTAAAAAAGATTTAGGAAACAATAGGACGTTTTTAAGTATTATTACTTCTAACATGTCATCACTTAATGAAAATTATCCGGGATATGTTTCAAGATATACAAATGAAACAAATATGATTATAGATAAACCTTCTTATAAAGAGGGATATCAACGTAAAGGAGATCATCTTAATCCTTTTCAACTTGAAGTAGTTGATTTTTCTCGATCCATTCCATGGTTAAAATATAATGTATTTTTATACAATTTAGAAAGCAGTCATAAAAATATATACAAGATATTTAATATCATTCAATCATTAGTAATGATCTTACTTTTTCCCATTTTTTATATATTAAAAAAATATCTTTTAATTAGTAATATTATTGAAAAAGAGAGTATTTCTGCTGAGTATTTTAAATTCCATGAATATTTAACAGCAAAAAATACAAAAAAAACACCATCGATTATGTTTATGGTTCCTTATTTTAAATTCATTAATTATCAACAACGTGATAATTGGTTTTTAGAATTATTTTACCCTCAAACTAATCCATTTGTTGAAACTACAGCGAACAAGGATATCTATGATACATGGAATGGTGAAGCAATAATTAATTTTAAATGGAACACTTATGGGAAATATTATTATTCAATAATTTGGATTGGATTTTTAGCTTTACTTGGATGTTTTACTGCTGCTGCAACAATTCCTCAACAATATATTGATGATGATGTTCGAAAAAATCTTTTGGTTGCTTCAATTGTAATTGGATTTATTCATTTGATTTTTGAAGTTCGTCAGTTTATTTATGACCCTTTTAAATGGATTCTTGATTTTTGGAATATATTTGGTAAATAAATATAAATCTTATCAATTTATGGTAAAAAATTTATTAATTGTATTATTTAAAATTTTAGATATAATCGCATATGTGCTTCCAATTTATACTTCTTTTTATTGGCTTCAAATTGATGAAATGAATGATAAGATAATTCAATTACTTTCCTTTTCATGCTTATTTTTAGATATAAAATTTTTATTATTTTTTAGAGCATTAGAATATTTTGGCATGTACTTTGCAATCATGATTCATGTTGCAAAAAAGATTATTTCCTTTTTAATACTCTTACTTATTGTTGTAATAAGCTTTGCGCATGCGTATTATATTTTATTATTACCAAGATCCGATTTTTCATTTGGGCAACGTACTATTAATAATGATCCTAATAATCCTTGGAATTTGGCATCTACTTATAATCTAATATACGAAAATGGGACTGTGGATTCTAACCCATTTTTGATTCAACCACCTAATGAAAACACAAATATGTTTATAGATTTTAAAACATCACTTTTTGCAACTTATAAATTCTTAACAGGTATTTTCAAATTTAAATTTTTAAACAATTTTATCGTTTTTACAATCTAAAGTATCTTTTTAACCTTTTTAATTTATAGGTGATTCAGGCGCATTAACTAATTGGTCATATTTAAACAATCCACCACATGTAATTTTGATTGTCTTATTTTCACTCTTGGTTGTTGTATATCTTATGAATTTGTTTATTGGGTTACTCAATAATGAGATACAAGCAAATAATAATAGAGCAGCTTATTTTATGCAGAAGGCACAGGTAATATAACTTCGTCATTATTTAGTATTAACAATGAAAAATTATTATGATACTAAAATATTTTTAATATTCTCTTAGGTTCTAGCTGAAATTGAGTTATTTTACCTGTTACCATTTCAGAGACGTTGGAAGGAATGGTTTCCTGAAGTAATGTATGTTAATTTTAAAATTTTATTCTTTTTTTTTTTTAAAAAAAAAAAATGTATGGTCGATACGAATATTTCTATAATCTTTCTTTCTTTTTTTTTGAAGGCATTATTACGCGAATGTTGATGATATTCAAAAAGTAATCCGAGAAATGAAACCAAATAAATGGAAAAGTTTCAAAAAAGCGTTCCCAGAATTAGGACAAAAATTATCAAAAAAAGTTCATAGTGAACCCGAAGGCGAGGAGGAGTAGGTTAAAATTAAGTTAGGAATATATTTATATTTTTATATATATATTATTTTTTATTTTTAATTTTACATTTTGATAATTGGGAATTATGGAAAATTATTTGTTGTATCCCAAAGGTTTGTAATCAATTTATGAGAAAATAAACAAACGTATTTTTTTGAATATTTTATTTAATATAAAGATTTCGTTCTCATATAAATCTTACTATTATGGTACATTTTTTTTTTTTTTTAAATCGTTCGTAAAAAGATATCTAATTTTTTTAAAAATATAATTATTTCTAAAATACTTTCTCTAAAAAAAAATATTCGCACTTAAAAAGCGATTGATTAATAAACATGAATTTAGGTAGTTTAATATTTTCATATTAATTAACGAAAATTGAGAAATTTTTAATAGTTTAACACTAACGATGCAAATTTTTTTGTTTTATTATTGCCATTTAAGGGTGGCGATGTATAAGCAGGTTGAATTTTTCACCCATGAGACCGGTGACATTTAAGGGAGGCAAAAAAAAACGTCCTTCAGATAAATATAAACAGTGAAATGTGATGCCGATGATGAATATTATTAGGTCACGTGGAGGTGAAAAAAATTGATGGTGTCCAGTACCAACATCCGCCACCTATCAGTAAATTGAATCAAATACATTTAAAATGATTTCAATATGCTTGGTTTATAGGATCCTTCGTTTTGAAGCCAACAGGAACATCTATCCTATCTTTTATAGCCTCCTTAAGGTGGCTAACCAACTTTTTATTATCAATATCGACTGCGGGTCATAACTTTCGCATTACATAAGTTCCTTCACAGTGAAAGAAAAGAGAATCATTAGTAAAAATTCGTGATTGTTGTAATTAATTTCACTTCGTATTTATTTCTAGTAAATCAACTCTAATAAAGGTTTGTCATAATGATAAAATTCCTGACTGGATGACTCATAAACCAATAATGATCAAATTAATTTCATAAACTTTTCTGTATAATGATCAATTAGATGATTAATAAATAAATATATATCATAAACTTTTTTCGCCAATGGTTTGATCACTTACGTGGTATACTCATAAATTAAGTGATTACATCATAAACGTTTCATAAACTTTTCTGTGTAATGATCAATTAAATGATTAATAAATAAATATATATATAATAACTTTTTTCGCCAATGTTTTGATCACTATAATTCTAAAAATTTCTTCGCGATAGATTATAACAAAAAAATATGTTTCAATTAAGCAGAGTTGCTTATCAAAGTCTCTCTCGTGGTTTAGCCACTGGTAAGTATTTTACCTCTTGAATAAAAATAGTTGTACTCGTATAAGTATATAATATTTTGCGGTTCTTTTTTTAATAAACAGGACGCGTTAAAGTTCCTCGAATCAATAATTTCAACAACACACTCAAAGAACTTAAGGGTGATGTTAAGAATGTTAGCAAAAAGCTAAGCGAAGTTGAGACGGAACTTAAGGGTGAAATTAAGGGTGTTCAAGAAGATGTTAAGGGTCTTAGCAAGAAGTTGAGCGAAAATAGTAAGAAACTGAACGAAATTGGAACGAAATTGGATATGCATGTTAAGTACCTTCCGGTACAAACCACTGGCTACGTATGTGGAGCTCTAGTCGGTGGAACCTCATTCCTCACTGCTATTGGGTGGGGTTTTACATTGGAGAAGAAAGACTCGGCCGAGTCGGTTGGGTGGGTTCGCAACTTACCTAAGTCAGTTCCCAAGAAATAATATATTTGATCTTTGCTACTTGTCATAAAATAATAGTTTTCTACTTCTATGCCTTTTCTTAAATTCTCTACACATTTCTTTGCGTTATCCTCCTCTTTTTTAACAACATAAGTCTAATTGGTAATTTTTCTAGTGATAGCGGTCCAATTTTTTTTCTTCAATGTAATTGTTCAAATATATATTGTATGCATGTAAAATATGTCTAAATAAATATAGATGCTTGTTTGCTAAGCTTATTTGAGCCGGGAAGGCAAGTAACACAAGAACTTTACAGCTTGTGATCCACAAGTGTTACAAACACAGTAGAAAAAATCAATCGAAAACATATTCTTATGAACCCGAATGAGCGAACTTTATTAAATGCTTTTACATATAGAAGAGTTCAGTGACTTGAGGCGCAGAAACATCACTACAATCTCGTCCTTGCGGAGAAACTTCAATTGTTCCACCACAACATTGTCACCCACTAAAAAGTTTAAATTAATTCCTTTCTGTATTAAGCAAGCTGATCCCTAACTCCGTCATTGACAAACGTCTTAGCAGTCTGTTTCGGATGATTAATTTTATAATGTCCTAAATGATTCTTTAGTGTTTCCCAAAATTATAATGGCTTCTAATAAGATCCTGATTTTTTACTGGCATTAACAATTTTAACATATCAGATATAGATCACGAAAATTAATCGAGTCTATACTTGATTCCAAGGTGGATGCGGTTATTGGAAGAGGTAGCGGACAACTCTCATATACAGTAAGCTCCCGATCTTTTTAATTTTTTGATTGAGGTTTCGTCACTAGAGGTAACTTTCCTTCCATCAGTGACGTTTTTACGTTTTTTCCTGCTAGAATCAGGTTACGTTTCTTCATCAACATCAATCTCCCTCCTCTTGAATTGCTGGTGAATTCATCTGAAGTTGATGACATTCTCCTAGCCATTGGTGAAACACTCGAGCGATGATATGCTTCTAAAGAAATCAAAAGGCTTGTTCAAGAAAATGTCCAAGAAAATGATAAAGGAAAAAACTTCTCTTATCTTCTCTTTAGTTATCAAAATCAAATTCAAAGTATCAATCATTTAAAATACGCGTTAACTTAAAGGCTAAAAAATAAAAAAAAGGAAAAACAAAGTTTGTTAAAAACACGAATTTTAATTTAATTTTCCTTTTTTTCATAAAAAAGAAATTAAACCTACTCTCCAAATTCAGCGCGTTCTTTGGCCATCTAAAAAGGAAGAAAACAAAACGTTAGTAAGCATTTTGTTAAAAAAAAAAGGGTTTCAATAAGAATGCTCACAGAAATTAATGTTCCGGACTCCATTTCTATGAGCCACTGAAACTTAAAAGAAAGAAGATTTTTAGTAATGAAGATAAAAGAAAACAGTAAACTGAAAATAAATCAATCACCCACCCCATTCTAGAGAGAAACAGCAAAACCTAGAAAAGAAAAAAATCGCTGTTAGTGTATAGTTCGTTAAACAAAAAAATATGAAATCTTATTGAAATGCCGAGTCCGAGAGAAAAGGTTTACCGAAATGTCATGTCCAAAGAACACTTAAAAAAGAAAAAAGACCGAAAGAAAAAATAGGAAAGGGAAAAAATAAAGGAAAGAACGAAGGGAAAGGTGAGAGATAGAACAAAATATGAAAGAGAAGGGAGTAGGAAAAGCAAAAGAGAGGGAAATGCGGTAGAATCTACAAAATAAAAAAAAATTCAGAAGTGTTAGTAAAATGGTCTCTAAATCCTGCTCTCCGTGCCTAGCTCTTACCTAATTCGTGAAATTCTAATTTCAAAGGTAGCGTTTTTATTTCAATTATGTTCATTCCTAGTCTGGTAATATCTAAAACTTTTTTTAAAAAAGTAGTTTTTTAATGAAAAAATAAAAATAATTTTTTTATAAAACAAAAACAAAAATTCATTTATTAAAAAAAAAGAATAAAAAAAAAATTTCGATAATCTATACTATACAACATCGGAGGTTATTATCATACTCAATAACTATATTATCCGCAGTATTATATTTAGTTTTAGTATATATTTAACTCCGGGATCATTAGTATAAACTAAACCATATGTAATGTTTAGTATTACATAGTTTTTTTATTTTTATGTAGAATTGGAAAGTTCAAAGTATTATTATAATAAGAAATAGGGTTGAAAATCAAAAATCGAGAATTTTATAATCAAAAACATTATTTTCAGGAGGGGGGAACCTCATCAGGTTGAAATTGGGAGACTAATATTTTATGGACTTAGAATTTATTTCGATGAAAATCATTTATTATAAATAGTTAAATTTGATAAGGGGGATCGTCAATTTTGTAAGGATTATTTTTGTATGCTGATGTGGCAACGCGATTTATCACGGGATTATTACAGAAATTTGTTAAGTCCGTACATTATGAAATCAGCTGTGATTTTCGGAACATTTGACATAATAATCCAACTAAAATTTTCAAGCAAAATTACTTAAAATTTTAAAATTTTCAGATTTCCCCCTTATATTAAATTCATGATATTTGATCAACCTTTTTAAAATCATTATAAGGTAGTTAAACGATTATTGGGAAGATTAATAACTCGGGAATCGGGATACCAACTTGGTTAAAAAAAATTAAATGAAATAACCAAATATGAATTCATCATGCGAATGAATGAAAAGCTAAAAGAAATTTCATTTTGTAGGTGTCGATCCTTCCGATAATTCCTATTTTGTTTCCAAATAGGTTATTCATTCCCACAATTATAAAAGACCTCATTATCAAAAATAATTTCATTATACAAACACTGATTCAAACATGAAATATACTATCCTTTTTATTATTGTGTTCTTTCTTAACTCCCTCAAAACTTTCGCTTGGAAAACTCATAATAATTGTGATAGTAAGCTTTTCTAAAAACGACTTTTATTTGATTTGTTATTAGGCTAATCAAAAATGGCATAACATTAATCATGCCGGTTTACTGTTTCTATTATTGTGTTATTTATTTAGACATATGGGTAAATGAATTAAAATGGCTTCCAAACAATCAGGTCTTAATCTCCTTACACGGTCCACCTACCGATAAATGTATACAACAGGGGATAGAGATTGTTTCAGATTTTAAGTTTTATATCCTAAACAAAGTTCCCTACATTCTTTGGAATGAACGAAGATGGATAAACGGGTACACTGAAAATAATATTTCAGGAGGGAGAGATGGTAAAGACTGTAGTAAGTTGTATGAAGGAGCTGTCGATCACGAGTTGACCAGTACTTATGATCCCAATGAGTTTGCTTCACCGGGACAAAAGGTCGCGTTGGAGATGTGGCTGTATGGTAATTGTCGTTATAAAGGTGATACGCATTGTGATGCTTGCAAAATATATAAATATTATGACTATAACCCACCGAAATAAAATGGATTCTTTTATCTTTTCATTAACAACTAACGCAGCCGGGTCCCCATGTGCAAAAAACAAATTCTCAAAAATACATTATTTAATAATTAAGTATAATCATATTAAATGAAATTCATTTCGCTTTTACTTTTTCTTCAAATTCAAATGTTTTCAAATTATCAACAGAAAAAATTAAATTTGATATTATCACTTGGCGTAAACCTTCCTCAAAAGAATGGTTTTCAGATAAATATATCCGCCATTATTTATTACCAGGATAAACAATGAATGCGCCTTCCTGTTATTATAAATAAACTTCATTTTTAAAATCAAAAAAAAAAATTTAAAAATAAGTTATCGTTATTTAAAGTCAATAATTTAATGTTGCTTTGAACAAAAATATCTAGAAAATGTCGTGTCTTTTGCTTGTACTGTTTTTTATTTTTAGGATGATAATTATATTCTTATGGCAAGCCGAGTACATATTTTTTATCTGTCCATTGCTTGATGTTTATCTATCACGTGCTTGAGGTTTTATCCAACTAAACTTGATAATTTTATCTTGTAGATCACATGTTTTTTAAGTTTAGCATAGTTTTTACACGAAGAATTTTTTTTTTTTTTATTGGCTTTTTTTTTATAAACCAATTTTTGGAGAATTTTTATTTTTAATATAGGCAAAGGCTTTTTTTTGATAGAATTTCTTTTGGGAATTTTTTTTAATAGGTGAAAGTATTTTTTGACGTAAATTGTATGCTATATGCATATCTTTGCACACTTTGTCCATTAATTCTAATATAGATATCTGTGGCAAATTTTGAAATATTCTACGTACAGGACTAGATGCATTAAATTTATTTGCTATATTTTCTTTCTCTTGTATTGATAAATTACTGCCACAAACAGTTGAACCATTTGCTAATTTTTTTCTTTTTCCTAATTAAATATAATTAAAAAAAATTAATGTAAAATATTTAGTTTTATTGGAGTTGTTAGTTGTTAATTACATTTTGTAGTACAGTAGTAGCATTATTCTTTGGTTTATTATAAATGATTTGTAATTTATTTTCTAACAAAGAATTATTCATAAAGTAAAATTCTTTTGACCAAATCTTTTATTTCGTATAGAGTTTTTGACAACAAATACTCATAATCTTCAACAATTTTCAATTCTGCTGAATGAGAATCTTTTCGCCAATAGTGAATCTGGCAATTTATTTAAATTAAGTTGTGACGCAACACGAAGTATATGTCTACAAATAATTCCAGAAAAGGTTGTGTATGTTTACATGGACATGAAAATAATTTTTGCTGTTGATCGTATTGGACCCTTCCGGATTCGTATTTCCTCAAAAAACCGGGGTGATTTACTTGGTACATCACAGCCTGCTTCATGATAACGGTCTTTAACATTTTGTGGAATTATTCTCTCCTTATTAAGAAATCTTTACCAAAATATGCCAAAGGCCAGTTTGATGCTCTTATAAGGAAAGGGCAAGAACATCTTTGAGATTGATGATCTCTTGAGTTTTCGCATTTGAAAATTATAAAAGTTTGCATATTCTTGAACTTTTAATTACAAAATCATCATGAGGAACGGACTCAGTGTAATTTCCATAATTTTTCATATATATATTTATAAATCTAATAAAACAACAAAAAATTTAAATTATAATAGGAAATAAGAACTCTTTTATATGAATTATTTATTATAAAGATTTATTTTTATTTGTTTACAAATATATCTAATATGATGTCAGATATACGCCTACCGGGTTTACCACGAAATCCCGACAAGCACAATCCCGATATAATAAAATCCCGAGGCACGTATTTCTGACAGAGACAATATACTGAACGATCAAAATCCCGAAAGTATCATATCCCGAATGGTCTAAAATCCAGAATTTAAATTTCCTGAAAGTTCAAGTTACTGATGAGTCAAAATTCCGACACAATATTATAATTTTGAGTATCTCTTTGATTTTTGTTTACTAGGAAGATCATTTCCTACTGGCTATATAATTTGCGACACTATTTCCAATTTAAATGATAAAAAATTGCAATTTTGATTTATGACTTACATGTTACAGTATAATATATAGTGAGATCACGCAGTAGTAATTGACATAATAACTCCTTGGCAAATTATGCAAATTATTAACAATTGTGCAATCACTACGATATTATTATAAATGGTCACATGAAAAAAATTCTTTTCTTTATTGTGTCGGGATTTTGACTCATCAGTAATTTGAACTTTCGGGAATTTTGAATTCCAGATTTTGGACTATTCGGGATATAATTCTTTCAGTATTTTAATCATTCGGGATATTGTCTTAGTCGGGAATAGGAGTGTCAAGATTTTATCACATCGGGATTATGGTTGTCGGGATTTCGGGAGGATCCCACGCCTACCACCAATTTTTCACAGCACGTGACCTAATACTATTCATCACTGGTATCTTGGTATCTTAGGGACAATCCTCACAAAATTTATTTTCACATTCATTAAATGTAACCGGTCACGTGACGGTGAAATTTTAAATTATTGTCTGGAGCGGAAGCGAAGGACTATATAATTGTCCGGAGCGAAGCGAAGGACTATATATGTCTACGCACTATGATGATCTATGGAAATAACGTGTAAATTTTCAATCACGTGAGTTTCTCTGTCCAGGAATTCCAAGGCGTTATGCTGCTAATCAGCAGAAAATTACCGGAATTCCAAGGCGTTATGCTGCTAATTAGTAGAATATCGCTACATCTTTATTTATTATACCTCGCTCCAGACTTACAACGGTTCCCGTTTCCTAGTATAGTTGGTGGGTAGTAGAGAAATTAGGCAATTGGTCATTTTTTATAATACGTAGATATATATATATATAGTCCTTCGCTTCGCTCCGGACAATAATAAACTATGCTTCTCAAGACAGGTAATATCGGAACATAAGAATCAAAGGATGAAAATTGTATTTCAAGAAAGGGGTCGATAAAAAAAAAAATTTTTTAATTTATTACGTAATTTGGAAATCAATTTCGAATAATGATTCTAGAACAACCTTATAACGACAAATGTCTATATAATGAATTTTTGTATTCTCAGAATGCATATGCAACAAGAAAAATATTACTGGTAAAACCTTCAAAGCAAATGTCTAAACTTTTAAAGCAATTTATATTGCTATTATTATTTTCCTGTATTTTACATATTCAGTAAAATTATTTTAATGCTATAAAACCCTCAATAGCAAATGTCTAAACTTTTAAAGCCACTACAATAAAATTTTATGGAGATCAATCAATATTTGTACCTTTGTATCTGCGTATCTGCAGAGTGATGTGGAACCGAAAAAGATAAATTTCCATCTAGTGTAAATTCATCACAATGTAAGAATTGATTGCGTATTTTTTTTTGTAAATTTTATATCTAGAATGCATACTATGCAGCCAAGAAAGGTTTAATTGTTTACGTTAATAATTTTAATTATTTCAACACAGTTATAACCTAATATGTATAGATTGAAAATTCTTGTTTCCTGCTTCGGGTAAAATTTAATTGATTATATCACTTACGTGGATATATTAAAATCAATATCAAAAAAAATAATTTTTCATTGTAAAACCATTATAATGAAAAATTTTAATCTTACATGTTGAACATTAACAAATTAGTGTATATGCAACCGGGACGTACAACTCTTATCAGGTAATCACTTCCGTAACAATATTAACATGCAAAGAACAATAAAAAAATCTAATCTTTTTGTTCTTACATGTTGAACATAAACAAATTACAACCGAGACGTGCATTCAGACTGTTTATTTTTATTATAAATATAGAAGTAACAATCGTTAATATAGTCCATTTTTTGGGGAAAAAAATACTCTTATCGGGCAATCGCCTATTAAAATAAAAAATCTAATTTTTTTCTCCCTTGTAAAGTCATTATAATGAAAAAATTTCAACTTTACGTGTGAACATTAATCAACGAATGTTTCTAAATTTGTAGTGAGGGTACATTTTATATCTATAGTTGCAATTTTTTTTTTTTTATTATAAAATAAAAGCCGTTAATCGTTAGTGATAATCCCTTTTTTAAAAAATAAAATAAAATTAAAATAAACTTAAACATAATTTATATTCCCTAAGTTCTAATGAGTCATGAAAACATCTCCATAAATATCAATAACGATATTGATGATATTGATGACGATAACAATAACGACCTCAAGAATGAAATTAATAAACTTGATAACAAAAACGTTGACGACGTTGACAACCATGTCCATATCCATAAACCGGCGTATATCGATAAACCTATTATAGAAGTATCACCAAATGGAGAATATCTTGTTGTTTACAATCCAGAAGATCAGTCAATCGTCGGTTGGAATGCTAAAAATATAGAGGAGGGACAACTTACTAAATCAGACGCTCCTGTCAAAGTAAATGATAGTAAAGACAAAAAAACTGAAATAAGTGATAGTAAAGACCAAATAACTGAAATAAGTGATAGTAAAGACCAAATAACTGAAATAAGTGATAGTAAAATCCAAGTAACTGAAATAAGTGTTTCCGATGATAAGAAACTTGCGTGTTCGTTTAACAAGGATAACGAATGTTGTTTAAGTAAGACTTATTTTATTATTTAATTATGAATTTACTAATACATTAATTAACATTTATCAAATTTATATTTATTAGAGATAATTGATATTGATCATAAAGATCAGGAAATTAGACTAAATCTGGGCGGAGGTGCTTTTACCGGTTCACGTCATCATACTTTTAATTCAAAGGGTAAATTTATTTTATATAGTAATTGGAAAATACACGATGAACTTTATTATGAAGAGAATAAAATTATTCGGATTTTTTCTACGCAAACGATAAATAACAAATGGTATTGTGAAAGAATTTACAAGATACCTGAGTATTTTGAATTGATAAATATATCAAAATATGCCGATATACTTTATTTATTTTCAAATAATTCCATTTATGAATGGGATCTTGATGCTGAAAAGGGTATAAAAATATTTTGTGATAGGGAGTTAAAGGTAATTAATCGTTAAAACTATTTAAAGTAATTACCATATATTATATATATAATTAATTATTATTTATTTTAATAGTCACATTGTAACAAGCGGAATCTTAAACATGATATCAAAATTTCCAGTAATGAAATGTTTATTTGTTTAAGTATCATGAATAAAAAATTTATTATTTATTCTATTGAATCAGCAATTCCTATTTTTTCTTTGGATTTGGAAAATGGTATTATTTTATTTTATTTTTTCAAGTTAAAAAAGTATAATAAATAATATTATGTATTAATTAATATTCCTCCTTTTCCATTATTCAGATACTTCAATATATAATTTGGAGTTATTACCCTTGTTACCCTCATTATTTCCCCTATTAAGTAGTAATACTCAAGATTCAATTATAAAACATTGTTGGGAAGAATGTTTAAACCGTTTGAGGTTAAAAGGCAAAAATTTACAAAATCTTCCAAGTAGCGTTCAAACCACAGATAAATACGCATTTGGAATTTTAGATGGAGATGTTTGGAAAATTAAATTAGAAGAAAATATACCAAAAATAAATTTTTCATCCCAAAATTCCGACGTACAAGTTATTGAAGACATTAGTGACCAATACGATGAATTCGATGTTTACATAACTATTAATTTATTTAAATATTATAATAAGGAAATACGTGAATTATTTCAAAAAGTATCAAGTTCTAAAACTGAATATGAAAGAAAAGTAAAACTAAAAGATCAAAATTTAGTTGAACGAATTATAATAACTGATAAATCATTGCAAGCTTGGAAAATTAAAATTATTGATAATAATAAAATAATGTTGCGAGTTTTTAAAAAAGCAGATGTTAGTAGCGAATGGGAATTAACTAAACCAAAAACAACAGAATTTAAAGTTGGTGTCATTCGAAATATTAAATTACTTGAAATTAAGTTATTAACCGATGATGATATCATTTTAATTACAACAATAGGTTTTTTAATTTATCACTATAATGAAAACAAGACCATTTCTTTAATTTATTGGGATTATATGAAGTTAACCACGCCTTTAGTAAATGTTAGTGGAATCTCGGAAGATTTTAAAAATCTTAAAGTATTATTAAAACCTTATTATGATTCACAATCTAATTTACCTTTACCACCAAATTATAATAGTTTTAAAATAAATGGTGAATGGATTTCATATGTACAAGGTAATAAGGAAAATCTTTTGAGATACGGTGATAAATTATTATCATTTGCAATTAAAGAACATGAATTAGATTTAATAGAAGTAATCTATAATAAATGTATAGATTGGTTTAAAGAAGATTTAGGAAACAATTGGATGTTTTTAAATATTATTTCTTCTGCAATGCCGCTATTGAATAGACATTACCCAGAATATGTTCTAAGATATTCATTAGAAACAACAATGATTATAGATCATCCTTTTTATAGTATAGATTATCAACTTATGAAATCACAACTTTATTCTTTTCAATATCTTAAATTGGTTAATTTAACTCGATCTCTTTTATTTTTAAGATATAATGCGGTGTTAATCAGAATGAGTTATAATCATAAGATTATATACAAAATAGTGAATATAATTCAATATACAATACTTTTTGTGATAATTTTACTTTTGCCCATTTTTTTCATTTATATGGCTGTGTTTTATTTATTAGAAAAATTTCATGTTATTAGTAATATGAGAACTGAGGAGATATTTGCTTGGGTTTATTTTGTATTGTCAGATAAATTAAGTTCAACAAGAAAAATCCCAACAATTACTTTTATGGTTCCATATATTAATTTTGTTAGTTATCCACAACGTTATAATTGGTTTTTAGAATTATTTAACCCTCAATCTAGTCCATTTGTTGATACTATAACGAACGAGGATATCTATAATACATGGAGTGGTGAAGCAATAATTAATTTTAAATGGAACACTTATGGGAAATATTATTATTCAATAATTTGGATTGGATTTTTAGCTTTACTTGGATGTTTTACTACTGCTGCAACAATTCCTCAACTATATATTGATGATGATATTCGAAAAAAACTTTTTATTGCTTCAATTGTATTTGGATTTATTCATTTGAGTTTTGAAGTTCGTCAAATTATTTATAATCCTTTTAAATGGATTCGCGATTTTTGGAACATATTTGGTATATTGTTTATTTTAATCAATCTATATCATATTTTAAGAAAAAATTAATAATATTATCTAAAATTATTTGTAGATGTAATTGCATATGTGCTTCCAATTTATACTTCTATTTATTGGCTTCAAATAGGTGGTATAAATGACGAGATAATTCCATTACTTACTTTTTCATGCTTATTTTTAGATATAAAATTTTTATTATTTTTTAGAGCAATAGGATATTTTGGCGTGTACTTTGCTATCATCATTAGTGTTGCAAAAGAGATTATTTCATTTTTATTACTGATATTTATTATTGTAATAAGTTTTACACATGCCTTTTTTATTTTATTATCACCAAGATCTGATTTTTCATTCAATAATGTTTCAAATAATAATGATCCTAATAATCCTTGGAATTTGGCATCTACTTATAATCAAATGTTTGATAATGGAACTATTAGTTCTAGCCCATTTTTGATTCAACCGCCAAGTGAAAGCACAAATATGTTTATAGATATTAGAACATCACTTTTTGCAACGTATTTATTCTTAACAGGTATTTTCAAATTTAAAATTTGTTGATTTCTTTATAATAATTTACGAGTATTTTTTAAACTTTTTTTTAATTCATTAGGCGATTCAGGCGCATTATCTAATTGGTCATATTTAAACAATCCAACACTTGTAATTTTGATTGTCTTATTCTCACTCTTTATTGTTATATATCTTATGAATTTGCTTATCGGGTTACTCAGTGATGCAATTGGAAAAAATAATAATAGAGTCTCTTATTTGATGCAAAAGACACAGGTATAAATAACATCATCATTATTAATTTGAAATTATTATATATAGTACTAAAATATTTTTTAATTTTCTCTCAGATTCTAGCTGAAATTGAGTTATTTTACATGTTACCATTTCAGAGGCGTTGGAAAGAATGGTTTCCTGAAATAATGTATGTTAATTATTATTTTTATTCTTTTTTTTTTAAAAAAAAAAAAAATGTAATTGGTCGATGCTAATATTTATATAAACTATTTTTTTAAAAAAGATATTATTACGCCAATCTTTAGCTTAGCTGAAATTGAGTTATTTTACCTGTTACCACATCAGAGGCGTTGGAAAGAATGGTTTCCTGAAATAATGTATGTTAATAATTATTCTTTTTTTTTTTAAAAAAAAAAAAAATGTAATTGGTCGATGCTAATATTTATATAAACTATTTTTTTAAAAAAGATATTATTACGCCAATCTTTATGATATTCAAAAAGAGGTTAAGGCTATGATGGATCGAGATGAATGGAATACCGATGCATTCCCAGAATTAAAAAATGATTTATTAAAGATACTTCATATTAAAACTGATAAACAAAATTCTGACAATTAGTAGACTTTTATGGATATTATTAGGAGAAACGTAAGGCGTGATTATTATTATACGAATTTTTTTTTTTTTTTACAAGTTAGGAATTTTATTATTTTTAATTTGATTTTACAATTTATTCGTTGGAATTATAGATTATTATTATTATCGATTTTGATTTTGTAATTTTATTTAAATTTTATTTAAATAAACCAGCGTATTTTTTGAATAACTGCATTAATATCTGCATTAATATAAAGATTTCATTCTCAGATTAGATATGATTACTATTTTACTATTTTTTTTAATTGCCAATCCGTCTAGAATCGGTACTGCGTTACTAATAAAATTCGGGATAATAACAATAATAAAAAAAAAGCGTTTTTTACATCTTTACGCGCGGGATAAACTTCCACCCAATTCACAAATAAAAGTACTATGAAAAAAAATTATTTTAAAAAAGTCTTTAAAAAAAGCTTAGAAAGCCAAAAATATTTTTTTGTAATTTAAATTACATAACATAGTAAAATAAAATATTGAAATTTCTTATATTTTAATGGTGTAAATATGACGCGCGTGTATAATAAATAAACTCATTATTTTGAATATGTAACATATAATTTTTTTTTTGCAAATTCTCTTTTTTTCGAGTATTTTTTCAGTATCTCATGTGAATTTTATTTATGGTTAATGTGCTGTTTATGAAATATATTTTTTAAAGTTTGTGTTCTAGCACAAAATTAGCAGATTTTAACCCCGAATTTTATAGTAACGCAGTGTCGATTTTAGACGGATTGGCAATTAAAATTGTTTGTGAAAATTCTAATATTATTTCAAGCAAAAAAAAAAATCTACACTAATTAACATGAATTTACAATAAAATTAACGGAAATTGAGAAAACTTTATTTATCTGATATATTTTGTTTACAAATATATCCAATATGATGTCACATATTAGTTAACCTACACCCCGATTTACAATAAGGACGCACACCTTCACAGCACGTGACCTAATAATACTCATTACCGGCATTTTCACTGTTTATATTTATTTAAATTTTTTTTTGCCTCCCAAAATTTATTTTCACATTCTTTAAATGTCACCGGTTACGTGACAGAGAAATTTAAATTATATCACATCAGGAGATTATATGAGGCGAATATTAGCGTAAAGTTGTCAAATATGTATAATCCCTGGAAATTTACACCCCGTAAAAATCTATAAATATACGGTTTTGCATAAATTACACTTGAAACATAGTTATTTATAAGGCATATCTAGTGCTCCGCAAAATTCGGGTCTAACCTGAATAATTCAATCTGAGTGAATTTTAAATCAGTTGAGAAATTTGCGTAATTGATCATTTTTCACGATACGTAGACATATATAGTCCTTCGCTTCGCTTCGGACAATAATAAACTATGCTTCTCAAGACAGGTAGTATTGGACGTAAGAATCAAAGGATGTAAACTGTACTTCAAAGAAAGGGGTCGATAAAAAAAAAATTTTTAATTTATTACGTAATTTGGAAATCAATTTCGAATGATGATTCTGGAACAACCTTAATGAATTTTTGTATTCTCAGAATGCATATGCAACAAGAAAAATATTACTGGCAAAACCTTCAATAGCAAATGTCTAAACATTTAAAGCAATTAATATTGCTATTATTATTTTCCTGTATTTTACATATTCAATAAAATTATTTTAATGCTGTAAAACCCTCAATAATAGCAAATGTCTAAACTTTTAAAGCCATTACAATAAAATTTTATGGACTCTCATATTTAGATTAGATATTTAAGATTTGAAGATCAATCAAATATTTGTACCTTTGTATCTGCAGAGTGATGTGGAACCGAAAAAGATCTAGTGTAAATTCATTACAATGTAAGAATTGATTGCGTATTTTTTTTGTAAATTTTATATCTAGAATGCATATGCAGCCAAGAAAGGTATAATTGTTTACGTTAATAATTTTAATTATTTCAACACAGTTATACCTTAATACTGTGTATAGATTGAGTATTCTTGTTCCCTGCTTTGGGTAAAATTTAAATGATTATATCACTTACGTGGATATATATCAAAAAAATAATTTTTCCTTGTAAAACCATTATAATGAAAAATTTTAATCTTACATGTTGAACTTAGGGATTGGAACCGTCCAAAAAAACCTTAACCGGTTAAAACCGGTTAACAACCGGTTAATATTAAAAATATTTTAAAAACTTTTTTTACTGCAAATTGTACCAATTTTTGATTTTACTTGCATATTTAGTTATAGGATGACTATTTATCACTAAAATTATTATAAATAAATAGAAAAAAATTCTGCATTAAAACTTCAAGTTTAGGAACACGTGGCCGCAATTTACATATCTCTGGGCCGCATTATATAAATCTGACTAGGATTATGATAAATATAGTTTTAACCGGTTAACCGATTTTCAAAATCCTTTAACCGGTTAACCGTCTTAACCGGCTAATTAACCGGTTAACATTAACCGTTTCCAATCCCTATGTTGAACATTAACAAATTAGTGTATATGCAACCGAGACGTACAACTCTTATCAGGCACTAATCACCCCTGTAACAATATTAAAATGCAAAATCATTATAATGATAAATTTTAATCTTACATGTTAGGATAGTCTTTTTTTAATGCAAGTTCAATAACAAAGATCTAATCTTTTTTTTCCTTATAAAGTCATTATAATGAAAAATTTTAACCTTAAATGTTTCTAAATTGCGTGAAGAATGCAACCGAGAAGGTACATTCTAGCTATCGTAACAGAGAGAGATATATATTTTTTATTATAAATAAAAGTGTTAATCGTCATAATCCCTTTTTTTATAAAAAATAAAATAAAATAAAACTCAAAAACAAAAATAAATAAAAATAAAAAACAACAAATATATTCTCTAAGTTGCAATGAGTTTTGACAAAATCTCCATAAAAGTTGACGACGATCATATCGATAACGATTTCAAGGACGAAATCAATGAAATTGATAATGAAAACGCTATCGTTAATGACAACGATGTCGAACCATATATCGATAAACCTATTATAGAAGTATCTCCAAATGGAACATATCTTGTTATATACAATCCAGAAGATCATTCAATCGTTGGTTGGAATGTTGAAGGTATAGAAGAAGGGCAGTTTACTAAATTAGACGCTCCTGTCAAAATAAATGATTGTATAAGTCAAATAAGTGTTTCCGATGATAAGAAACTTGCGTATACGTTTTACAAGAATAATATGTGTTGTCTAAGTAAGGCTTATTTAATTATTTAATTATGTATGTAATAAATTAATTAACATTTATCAAATTTATATTTATTAGAGATAATTGATATTAATCATAATCAGGAAATTGAACTAAATCTGGGCGCAAATGATTTTATCGGTTCACGTCATCATATCTTTAATTTAAAAGGTGAATTTATTTTATATAGTAATTGGAAAGTATACTAGGAACTTTTTCATAAAGAGTATAAAATTATTCGGATTTTTTCTACGCAAACGAAAAATAACAAATGGTATGGTGAAAGAGTTTACGAGATACCTGAGTATTTTGAATTTATAAATATATCAAAATATGCCGATAAATTTTATTTATTTTCAAATAATTCCATTTATGAATGGGATCTTGATACTGAAAGAGGTATTAAAATATTTTATGATAGGGAGTTAGAGGTAATTAATACGTTAAAACTATTCAAAGTAATTACTGTATATTATATATATATAATTAATTATTACTATTTATTTTGATAGTCACATTATATCAAGCGGGAACTTAAACAACTTAAACATGATGTCAAAATTTCCAGTAATAAAATGTTTATTTGTTTAAGAATTATGGATAAATTTATTATTTATTCTATTGAATCAGCAATTCCTATTGTTTCTTTGGATTTGAATAATGGTATTATTTTATTTTATTTTTCCAGGTTAAAAAAGTAATAATAATATTATGTATTAATTACTATTTCATTATTCAGATACATCACTATATAAATTGGTGAAATATTCCGAGTTATTATTACCCTCGTTACCCTCATTACTTCCCCTACTAAGTAGTAAAACTCAAAATTCTATTATGGAATATTGTTGGAAAGAATGTTTAGACCGTTTAGGATTAAAGGACGAACATTTACAAACTCTTCCAAGTAACGTTCAAACTACAGATAAATACGCATTTGGAATTTTAGATGGAAATGTTTGGAAAATTAAATTAGAAGAAAATATACCAAAAATAAATTTTTCATCCCAAAATTCCGACGTACAAGTTATTGAAGACATTAATGACCATTTCGATGAATACTTAAATATTAATTTATTTAAATCTTATATGAATAAAATACGTGAATTGTTTCAAGAAGTATCAAATTCTAAAATTGAATATGAAGGAAAATTAAAACGAAATGATCAAAATTTAGTTGAACGAATTATAATAACTGATAAATTATTACAAGTTTGGAAAATTAAAATTATTGATAATAATAAAATAATGTTGCGAGTTTTTAAAAAAGCAGATATTAGTAGCAAATGGAAATTAACTTACACGAGAATAACAAAATTTAACGTTAGTGACGTTCGAAATATTAAATTACTTGAAATTAAGTTATTTACCGATGATGATATCATTTTAATTACAACAATAGGTTTTTTAATTTATCACTATAATGAAAACAAGAAAACTATTTTTTTAATTTATTGGAATTATATGGAGTTAACCACGCCTATGGTAAATTTAATTTCTGAAATTCCGGAAGATTTTAAAGATCTTAAAGCATTATTAAGACCTTATTATACTTTACAATTTAATTTACCTTTACCAAATTATGATAGTTTTAAAATAAGTGATGAATGGATTTCATATGTAAAAGATAATAAGGAAAATCTTTTGAAATACGGTGATAAATTATTATCATTTGCAATTAAAGAACATAAATTATATTTAATAGAAGAAATCTACAAAAAATGTATAGATTGGTTTAAAGAAGATTTAGGAAACAATTGGATGTTTTTAAGTATTATTTCTTCTACAATGCCGCTATTGAATAAACATTACCCAGAATATGTTCTAAGATATTCATTAGAAACAACAATGATTATAGATCATCCTTTTTATAATATAGAATATCAGCATACGAAATCACAACTTTATTCTTTTCAATATCTTCAATTAGTTGATTTAACTCGATCTATTTTATGGTTGAAATATTATATGGTTTTATTTAAATTTCATAAAAATCATAAGACTATGTACTTAATACTGAAAATAATTCAATTATCAATACTTTTTGTGATGATCTTAATTCCACCCATTTTTCTCATTTATATTGTTATGTTTTATATATTAGACAAATGTCACTTTATTAGTAATATTGGTTTAATGGATTTATTTTCTAATATTTATTATGCATTGTTATATAAATTAACAACAAGAGACACACCTACAATTACTTTTATAGTTCCCTATATTAAATTTATTAATTATCCACAACGTTATAATTGGTTTTCAGAATTAATTAAACCTCAACCTAGTCCATTTGTTGAAACTACAATGAACAGGGATATCTATAATACATGGAATGGAGAAGCTATAATTAATTTTAAATGGAATACTTATGGAAAATATTATTATTCAATAATTTGGATTGGATTTATAGCTTTACTTGGATGCTTTACTGCTGCTGCAACAATTCCTCAACAATATATTGATGATGATATTCGAAAAAAACTTTTGATTGCTTCAATTGTATTTGGATTTATTCATTTGAGTTTTGAAGTTCGTCAGTTTATTTACAATCCTCTTAAATGGGTTAGTGATTTTTGGAATATATTTGGTATATATATTTGTTTATATTAATCAATTTATATATTTTAAGAAACAAAAAAAAAAAATTAATAATATCATTTAATATTATAGATATAATTGCATATGTGCTTCCAATTTATACTTCTATTTATTGGCTTCAAATTGATGAAATGAATGATAAGATAATTTCATTGCTTTCTTTTTCATGTTTATTTTTAGATATAAAATTTTTATTATTTTTTAGAGCATTAGAATATTTTGGCGTGTACTTTGCAATCATCATTAGTGTTGCAAAAGAGATTGTTTCCTTTTTAGTACTGATATTTATTATTATAATAAGTTTTGCACATGCATTTTTTATTTTATTATTACCAAGATCTGATTTTTCATTAGATAATCGTTCTATTAATAATGACCCTAATAATCCTTGGAATATGGCATCAACTTATAATCAAATATTTGAAAATGGAACTATTGATTCTAACCCATTTTTGATTCAACCGCCAAATGAAAACACAAATATGTTTATAGATTTTAAAACATCACTTTTTGCAACGTATTTATTCTTAACAGGTATTTTCAAATTTAAATTTGTTGATTTCTTTATAATAATTTGCAAACATTTCTAAGCTTTTTAATTCATTAGGAGATTCAGGCGCATTATCTAATAATTGGTCATATTTAAACAATCCACCGCTTGTAATTTTGATTGTCTTATTCTCACTCTTGATTGTTGTATATCTTATGAATTTGTTTATCGGATTACTCAGTAATGCAATTGAAAAAAATAATAATAGAGTTTCTTATTTGAAGCTGAAGGCACAGGTATAAATAACATCATCATTATTAATATGAAATTATTATAAGAGTACTAAAATATTTTTAATTTTCTCTCAGATTCTAGCTGAAATTGAGTTATTTTACCTGTTACCACATCAGAGGCGTTGGAAAGAATGGTTTCCTGAAATAATGTATGTTAATAATTATTCTTATTCTTTTTTTTAAAAAAAAAAATGTAATTGGTCGATGTTAATATTTATATAAACTATTTTTTTAAAAGATATTATTACGCCAATTTTGATGATATTCGAAAAGAAGTTAAGGCCATGATGGATCGAGGTGAATGGAATACTAATGCATTCCCGGAATTAAAAAATGATTTATTAAATAAACTTAATATTCAACAAAATACTGCACAATGAGATATTGCACAATAAAATCCTGACAATCAGGAGACTTTTCTTATTAGGAGAAATGTAAGACGTGATTATTATACAATTTTTTTTTTTTTTACAAGTTAGGAGGATAAGAGTTTTTTATTATTTTTAATTTGATTCTACATTTGTTCGCTGGAATTATAGATTATTACTTTTATCTATTTTGTATTAAATTTATGTGAAAATATATTTTATTTAAATAAACAAGCGTATTCCGAATACTATACTAATAAAAAAATTCCATTCTCAGATAGATATGATTACTATTTTACTATCTTTTAAAATCATTTGTGAGAATTCTAATATTATTTCAAGCACTTTCTCAAAAAAAAAAAATCTATACTAATTAACGTGAATTTACAATAAAAATTAACGAAAATTGAGAAAACTTTATTGATTGTTAATAGAATATTCTAAATGTGAATTTTTTAAAAAATATCTTTAACTAATTAAAATTCAAATTGATGACCAAGACATTTTAATTGTGATTATAAAGTTATTTGTTTCCGACTATTTGAATATTAATTTCGCTTTTTCGCATACTGTAAATAAAGACGATCACAAACACAAAATGTTGTAAGTTTTTGATGTTTATTACTAATGAACGCGAACGCAAAAACTTTGATAGCTTTGAGCATATTTTTATCAAAATAAAGTATTAAAAAAAAATTTATATTAATTTTCAATATTTCATATAAGAAAAGTCTTTTAATTATAAACATCAAAAAAAAAACAACAATAATAATAATCCAGTCTCCGTCTAACATCCCTCAAGTAAAAGTAATTTCGAGAACAACACGACAAAGGCTATAAAAAAGAAGTGGACTTTAGTATTTAAGAAAAGCTAATTTATTATTCTAGTCAGGGTTAGCCTCCAGGAAAGTCAGTTTCTTTTTAATGTCTTCCCCCAGTTCCTCTGTTACTATTCCTCTACTAAAAACAATGTAAGATTAAAAAAGGATAAAATATATAAAAAATGATATAAAAAAAATAATAAAAATAAAAAAAATTGAAATAAATAAAAAAAAAACTGAAGAAATAATAAAAATAAACAGATAAAGAAAATGGCCCAATTTCAACTTACCAAAATTAAAAAGAAATTTCAACAGAACATTCTTTGTAAGGAATTTGTAATGCGTGTTTGATGATTGATCGATAAAAAAATTTAGCTTTCTTCGATCAAAACATTAGATAAATATCACGAGTATGCCGATCATCTCCAAATGACTAATTTTGGCCCGAATTGTAAATTTTGATGATTAAATTTAATCAATCAACCATTTAATCACGTCACTACGTGATCATTAATTCGAACCAATCAATAATCTAGCTAAAATTATCTGATTACCTTCGTCAACACTAGATAACCATGTTTTCTATATAAAAAAGTTGGAAGTACATCATATAAGAACATATACGGTATATATACTTTTTATTATTTGAATCTGAAAACTCGTGTACACTAATATGGTTTCCTTATGCTGATAATTATTATTAATATTATAATTTATGCATTATAATTCCCTTAGTCGGGGATATACACAATAAATATTACCAAGCATAATAATTCCCTTAATAATGATGTAATAATGATGTTATATGCAAATTTGCAACTCTACAGCACTTTGTCTTTTAAATTACAAAAAGTTCTCACGTATTATTTCTGAAGTATATGAAATTGAAAGTATACTGATAAAAATGTTAAAATAGAAATTAGGAAAATATTTTAATCAATATTAATAATTTATAAATTCTCCTAATACAAATTTCAGTATTAGAGAGAAATCTTTGTTTATTGTTTTAATCTGTATCCGTAGATGGCGAATATTATGTTAACTCAATAATACTTATGGAATCCGTATCCGCAGATGCACTATATCTTCAGATGGTGGATAGACGGATTGTAATACTAGTGAGTATAACAAGATTTTTGAATTATTACCACATTTTTCAAACAAATTTCAAGGTGAAATTTAATAATGTGAGTGTAATGGCTTTGTACACTCGCACACACATATATATATAATAACAATTATTTGTGAAAATATTTAATTTATACTCATTTTGAACCAATTTTATTGGAACAAATGTTGATAAGGATTCTTATGTCTTAAAACTTTCGCCATAATTAATCTTATTTATTTAACATATTTATTGGCATGGTTTATTTCAAAGGAATTTCTCAATGTATCGGAAAAAATATGACCCGAAAAAAAGGACTTCTATTCTTGGCCAAACATTCACTTAAATTTTAGGAAACGTTGTAATGCCGAAATGGAAAACCTAAATTTGGAAAATTGACGTGAATAATATAATTAGAAAATGGTTGAATTTATGATTTATTATAAAATAGGGAATAAATTCGATATAGACGCATGAGAATTCTTTTGAATTCTCATATATAAATTTAATATGGTTATTATCATTATATTATACTTTTATTATATTATATTATTAAATAAAGGAATATTTGTTAACGTCTCAACGTGATAAGGACCTATATCATGGGAATGAGCGTTACAACGTCTAAATCTATTGAATGATTGTTGTCATGTGCCACGCAGTGACACAATGACAGCCAATCATTCGCTATAATATTATTTTTATAAATTTTAAAATTTTGCTAAATTTAACAAATACATTAAATTTTCCAATATTTTATGTAAAATAATTTTTAAATGGTTTTATTCATTTATATTGTAATTTTATTATATTTTCGATTATATAAATGTTGTATTAAAAATTATTTTTAAATATAATAAATATTTAATAATATGGTAAAAGATCACCTCAGGTAGGGTGATTTTTTTGCCCCTGGTGAATTTTACCCCTGGTGAGCGTTAAAATCATTCAAAAAAATTATTAAATATAAAGTTTTCTTTTTTTTTTTAATTATTTTAACACAGTTTTTTCTAAAAAATAGTAAACTAATTTTATCACGGTGCGGAATTAACTATAAAAATACTATACGCGGTTGCCATGTTACTAAATGGATTAATGTAAATTCTTAATTTTGCCGATTCTGTAGATCGACTCATTAAGTGATAACATTCTTTATGTTTTCAGGATACTCTGTGTATTATGAAAGTGAAAGAGCGTGAAACACATGACGGATTTACTGGCCTATGCTAGGGGTTATATATCATTATAATATTTCCTTTTTTTTACTAGTGATATATTGAATAAAAGGTATAAATCACTCGTCCCTTCATAACTTTCTGTCTCTTATTTTGTTTCTTTTTATCGTTCCTTTGATTAAAAATAATTTTTTTCTAAACAAAAATCATACCAAATGGTAAGAAAAAAAGGACCTGTTTGGAAACATTTTCAAATAATTGGTAATAATGACAAATCACATCCTCGCGTACAATGTAAATACTGCTCCAAGGACTTTCAACGAGCTGTCCCCGAAAGACTGCAAGCCCATCTTAACGAAAAGTGTCCAAATGCACCGAATAGTGCAAAATCACAAACTAAACAACAAAAAACTATATCTAAAATTGATAATATTGAACATATGAGCGAAGAAGAACAAGAATCTTCTAAAGCATTAACCTCATCCTTTAAGTTATCAACTAGGGAAGAAGCAAAAATACAACCGGATGATAATGAACAATTACGTTATTCAGGTGATATACGTCATCTTGGTTATTGTTTTCAGCAAGGAATAGGAATTCAAAAGAATGAAAAAAAAAGCATTTGAATTATATAAAGAAGCAGCTAAAAGAGGAAATATTCCTGCAATCAGTGATCTTGCAAATTGTTATAAAAATGGGATAGGAATTGAAAAAGATGAAATTAGAGCATTTGAATTGTTCAAGGAAGCAGCTGGAAAAGGAGATATTGATGCAATGAATAATCTTGGGAAATGTTATCAAAATGGAATAGGAACTGAAAAAGATAAAATTAGAGCATTTGAAATGTATAAGAAAGCAGCTGGAAAAGGTCAACTTGATGCAATCACTAAACTTGGATATTGTTATGAAAAAGGGAAAGGAACTGAAAAAGATGAAATTAGAGCATTTGAATTATATCAAGAAGCAGCTAAAGGAGGAGATTTATTCGCATTATATATGGTTTTGGATATTATTATCCCACTTTGTGAGCAAGACTAGAAACTGAAAAAAAATAAAACAAAAACATTTGAATATGAGTAGACTATAAAATTTCTTTATTGTGCTGAAATCAATTTATTAATGATAAAACAATTTAAATTTATCTAATACTAGATAGTTGGATGAGCTTTAATGTATTAATTTATAACTTTTATATTTCAAATCAAATATACTGATTTATTTGTTGTTATCGACCGTTTTTTAGTACCATTTTTGACTATTCTAGTTCATTAAACTTTTCTTTTTAGCAGATTATTTTTATGTTTTTATTCTAAATTTCTATATGGATAATAAGCTGTATGCCTACAGTATATATATTTATTTCCAAGATGAGGTATTAGTTATTGAAAAGGATATTATATTTATTTCATTAATTAAATCAAATAAATTTAGGATATTATTAATTAAATTAAATAAATTTTTTAAATAAACTTTTGTCTTGAAAAGATACGAATTTTTATTCTTTATGCAGTAAATGTTAAATTAAATACAATTTTCGATCGGATCATAGTGTTGACACGATAGTTATTAAAAAAAAGAATATTACGATGTCGAGGGATGTTAACTGTCCGGTCTGGCCCGTCTTGGTCAGGTCTTCATCGGTCACGACTCACGACTGGGACCGATCGGTCCGGACTGCGGTCCTATAAAAAAAAATTTATAGAACGTTACTAATTTGTTTATTTTAGCCAAAAAATTTTTACGTTCATTAAGTCATTAAGCTTATCTAATCTGATATTATATTATCAATCACCGCGCATGTAATATGCAAATCATTTTCATATTAAAAAAAATTCGTGTAACCATATTTGAGTCACTTCATTTTATGATAAACCGTCAATTTTAATATGTAACTCCCATACAAATTAAGTAATTTGATAGAACATCATGTGCTTTACTAGTCTCTGAAGTTAATTTTCCATTTTTGAAATTTTTTTTTTCTCTTCGCATATACAAGAAGTTTACGTTAAAAAATGAACTTTTTTTGAGATCCTTTTAAAAGTTTGGATAAATATATAGTTTTAATAGCAAAAATATATGTAATTTTGCAAGAGAAAAAAGATTTTCTAAGGGTTTAATGGTAGTTATTCGGGTAGTTTTTGTATAAACACAAAAAAATTGATTTTTTAATAAAAA